GGCCCGCGACGGGGATCGGCCCGGCGGCCCAGCGCGAGAGGGCGGCTGGGCCACCGGCACCCGCCTCGACAACCAAATACGCGGCTGCGGCCGTGAGGCCGTTGCCGAGCGCAAAGGGCAGGAGGAGGGGCGCGTAGTAAAAGGCATTCGGCACAAGCGTCATGAGCGAGAATTGCAGCAGAGATGCGCCGCCGGTGAGGGCGACTCGCAGCTCTGGGCTCGCGTAGCGGAAAAGTAGCTGGTTCAAGCCAATCACAGGAAAGAGCGGCGTCGCCAGCGCAGTCGACGCACCCACGAGGCTCGCTCGCACTGCGAGAGGCGGCTGGTGGCCCGATGCCGACGAGATGCCGTGGATGAGTCGGCGTGGAGGCCGCCTCGACACCGCCGAGAGGCTACCGACGCATCGCGAGGCTGACGGGAGGCCGCAGACGTACGCGGGTCGAGCAAAGCGTGAGATCATCAACTCTCTTCTTTCGCCGCCGCGGCGGCCATCGCACGTGACCGTTTTCTTTGTTTTGTTGTAAAATTCTTTGTGCAGGCGAACCAAACCAAACCTTGCAAACTGGTCAAGAACACGCCTGGCGCCGGCGAGCGCTGAGATCCCCATCTTCGGCACGTCGAGGGCCATCTCGGTCTCGGGAACCGTACCCGTACTACTCAAAAGTACAATATACTTTCTCACAGCACTAGCGAGATTTCGCGCGGAGGGCGTAGTGAAGCGCTGGGGCGCTCACTGTGTGTTATTCGGGTGGGGATCCATCAGTGGTAACCGGCTTAGTCACAGATCCAAGCTCAGACGTCACACCAACACCACAAACACGCTCACTTCGGGCCGCTGCTGTAGAGGGCCCCCGGGGGCCCATACTACGTCGAAGTACGGACCCGATCTCGGCACTCACGGGCTGTCACGCGCCCGCGCGCGGCGCGGGCCGCACCGCCCATGCCCCCGGGTCACCGACCCCGCCTCTCGGCCCTCTCGGCCCTCAGGGGCGTGCGGGAGACCGGCGAGGGGCGCGCCGCGCGCCGCCTGCAGAGCCGCCAGAGGTATTGTCGCCTCCGCTGGCGGGGTTCCCGCGCGCGCCCGCCCGCGCCCGGACCCGCGCCCGCTGCGCCCGCGGGCTCCGGATGCGCCGCCCTCCGTCTCCTTCTTCTCGATGGCAGTCCGCACGTGCTTGTCGACGGGTCGGCGGCGTGGTCGAGGGGAAGGTCGCCGGCGGCCGCAACTCCGCCGCCGTCGCTCCGCCGGCTCTGATCGAGTATCGGGCGTTGAGGGCGGCGGCGCAAGCGGATCTGGCGCATCCATCGCCACGAGCCTCGCGACCGCGGTCGTGGCACACCTGGCGGCGGCTCTCGGGGCCGTCTCTACGGCGCTCGACGCCGTGTCAGGTCGCCAGCGGCCGCAACTCCGCCGCCGTCGCTCCGCCGGCTCTGACCGAGTATCGGGCGTTGAGGGCGGCGGCGCAAGCGGATCTGGCGCATCCATCGCCACGAGCCTCGCGACCGCGGTCGTGGCACACCTGGCGGCGGCTCTCGGGGCCGTCTCTACGGCGCTCGACGCCGTGTGAGAGGTCGCCGGCGGCCGCAACTCTGCCGCCGTCGCTCCGCCGGCTCAACCGAGTATCGGGCGTCGAGGGCGGCGGCGCAAAGTGGGTCTGGTGCGCCACACGGCCACAACCCTTGCCACCGCCCTTGCCGCCGCCCTTGCCACCCTTTGCCGCCTTGCCTACGCCGCGGGCGGCGGTGAGAGCGGCCTGCTGGGCTAGCATGTTGTCCTTGCTGGGGACGGGCACGTGGAACGCACGTTATATGTTCGAACGGCCTCCGGGACTCAAACAAAAATTAGTCCAGGCCCTCTCGCAACCCCTCCGACCCCCTGGGACCCGTGGGCGTCGAAGAGGCGCTCTCGGGGGGGGCCGTTCTGAGTTCATACTACCTCGAAGTACAATATACTGCGTCAAAGCACCGGCCCTGAGTCCGCGCTTGTCATTCATGTGAGAGAGTGCGTTGTGTTCTTGTTTTGGATGCGCTTTCTCTTTCTTCGGACCCTGTCTGGGCGCTAGTGATGTTCGATCCTCCCCATAGTCGAACTGTGGCAGCCACTCGCACCGGTCGGTGGAGGTGTGTGGGTATACGAAAACGGAAAAGGCCTGAGTCGAATAAATAAAGGCCTCCTGCTCCGGGAATGTACGTAAGAGCTACATACACTGAAGCGAGTTCTCTGAAGCGCGCCATCCTTGATCGCCGTGCAAAGCTCGCTTCCGAGCTCTCACGCCGCGCGTAGGGCCCTTATAGGGGCCTAGAGAACACAATCCCCTCTCTCTCTTCTCCCAGTAAGCTAAAAAAAAAAACGTACACTGAATAAATAGAGCGGACATCGGAACGGAGAAGGGCAAACGTTACGCAAAGCATGCGCGACGCTGCCTCTTTGCGCCGCTCGCTCGCGGCGCGGCAGGAGACATGGCCGCGGATGTGGCTCGCATTCGCTCGGCGGGCCTCCGTCTCACAGCCGCCCGGGCGTGCCAGGGGTCTGCCTGGCGCTGCGCTGCTCGCACGCTGCACTGCACAAAGCTGCGACAACAAGGGGATGCTCCTGAGCTTGAGCGTTGAGCAGTGCAGCTGCGGGTGCTCGTGGACAGCTGTGCAGGGTTCCGGCTCCTAGTCAGATAGGGGGTCTGTTCCCACTGGCTGGCCCCTATGCAATAGGTAGGTAGGTCCGGTTTTGACCGCCCCAGAGGGCCCCGCAATAGGTAGGTAGGTGGCGGTGGTGTGGGGGGGTGGGGGGGTGGGGGAAAAAAACCCGCTTCGCTTGCGCGGGAGACGGGCGCGTTGCCGCGAACGGGGCCATGCCAGACGTGTCGCCTGCGGCTGGGACGCCAGCCGAGACGGGTGCGGCGGCGGCGCCCGCGGTGGCGGCGCCCGGGACGGCAGCGCCGGCGAACGCGCCCGGGACGGGTTCCAACGGGTATTTTTCGCTTCGCTGCGCGGCCCCGCAATAGGTAGCTAGGTAGGTGGGGCACGGAGCCTGGCGGTTGGCGCCCGCAATAGGTAGGTAGGTAGGGCGTTTTGGCGCGACTCAGTGGCAACAGACCCCCTACCTGGCTAGGAGCCGGAACCCAGTGGTGAGAGCGCCTGATTGGAGGCGAGCTGGTGCTTCGTCAGCGTGCGCAGCATGCTCGCTCGCTCTGTGCTGAGGCATGCTGGCTGGCGCCCAACACAATGCCCTTGGTACATTGCTCCACGACGTGTTGGCTGGTGCAGTACTACCAGTGCGCTGACTGGCGCGCGGTGTGCGTGTCGCCGCGCGTGGCACGGGAGGCTCGAGCGGCGCGGCTGTCGGTCAACCCCGCGGCGCATGGGCGCCGCGGAAGCTGCTCGACAGGCTGCGGGCATCGCTGCGGCAAAAGCGCCCGCCCTCTGCTTTGCTTTCGCCCGCGTTTTACGACAACTTTCGGTATCATAGCCGCCGAACTTTACCTCGCTGTTTCTTTATCAGTGTATGTAGCTCTTACGTCCATTCCCGTAGGAGGACTCTGCTCGTCTGCTGACAGGGTTTGCGATTTTATAGGCGAGGGAGTTTTGTTGTAAAATTCTTTATAGGTGTCTCGAATCGAAGCTGCGTATTCTCGTATTGTCGTATTATCGTCGCGCAGTATGGTATTGCGTGGAGGCGGTCGTATTCTCGTATCACTAGCTCCGAGTTCTGCAGTTAAGGGGAAACCTGGCACACGGAGCCCCCCTCGGAGAGTATTCTTTAGCTCCGAGTAGAGGGGGTGCGGTCTGCTGCTAGGGGGGCCCAAGGAAGTGCGAGGGAAAAATTCCGCCGCTAAGGGAAACCCGGAGCGCCGAGCTAACCCCTCGGAGACCCGTGTTATGGCCCTGCGACCGCGCGCAGGCACCCCCCCAGGGCTAGGGCTCTCTTGCCCGCAACCCGATACCAATCGTCTGGCCAACTGGGTGCGCTTCTTAGCTCCCCGGTCCTGGGCGTGCGGATGATGACTGCACTCCAAGTGCTCCAAGTACATCTCCCGGAGATGGGAGAGAGAGAGAGAGATGGGCGACGCACGAACCCCACAGCTCCCCACAATCGCTGGGTCGGATCGCTTGTCATGTGAGAGATTGCGTTGTGTTCTTGCTTTGTATCCGCTTTCTCTCATTCTCATCTCTGTGTCGAACACTTCCGCGAGACAGGAGCCTTCGCCAGGTCTTCACAACAGCGATGGGATGCCGACTTAGTGCGCGGGGAGGGTCGGCGAGCACTCACTCACTGGCGGCGCCGCAGGGCCGGGGCACTGGCCACGGCCTCTCGCCGACCACTAGAAGGCGGCCCACCCACTACACGCACTAACTTAGTGGGCGGGGTGGCTGGCGGGAGGCACTCACCCACTTAGCCCGCTCACTGGCGGCCCACTCACTTCCGCACACTAATTTAGTGCGCGTAGTAGCCGGGCTCGCCTCTAAGAGCACTACTTCCCCGCAGGGCCAGGGACCACTCACTCACTACGGCACTTGGACTACGGCATCGCTGCTCTTCACACGACCGCGCGAACCCCGACACCTCTCTTCCGCGCTGTCGCGCGACCAGCGCGACCCAGGAGGCGACCAGCGCTACCCAGCAGGCTCTCTTTCTTTTTTCTTCTGTTTGTTGCCAGAGGCCGAAATGTCGGACTCGGAGTACATGCCGCTGGGACGCTCCGGCGGCCCTTATCGTGCGCCTGGCACGCCTCCTGCCCGTGCCGTCGCGCTGCTCGGCGTCGGGATGCTGTGCGGCTATTTCCTTCTCGACCTGGTGCAGCCGCAGAGCTCATCCCGGCGCGTGGCGGCGGCGGCCAGCGATGCACTGGTGACGGTGGTTGCTCGCGACGAGGGCGCGGAGCAGCGCATGCGGGCGGCCGCTGCCGTGGCGCGGCAGGCTGAGCCGGCCGCCGGGCAGGGCGAGAGCGAGTCGACGCTGCTCGACCCAAAGGCGCTCCGCGAGCTACGCCAAGCGCTCAAGGCGGCGGTCGCCGAGGCCCACGCCTCCGGGCCCG